GATGGTTAAGAGCACATTCTGCTCTTGAGGAGGGCTCAGGTTTGATTCCTAGTGCCCACGTCTGGTGATGCACAACTGCCTATACCTGCAGCTTCAGGGACATCCACACCTCCGGCCTCCAAGGGCACTGGCACTCACATGCATATACCCACACACACATACACAATTAAAAATAAAATCAATCTTTAAGAAATTAAATGGGCAAAGAATCTGAACAGGCATTTCTCCAAGAAGACATGCAAATATCCACCAAGAACATCAAAGGATGCTCTCAGCTCTCAGGCAAATGCAAGTTAAAAATCACAATATGATGCCACCTCACACCCACTAGAATGGCTATAATTAAAGACAGACAGTAATCACTGTTTGTGAAGATGTGGAGGAACTGGAACTCACACACAATGTGAGGGACTGTCAAACACCTGGCAGTACCTCAAAAGGTTAAAAACAGAGTAACATATAATTTAGCAATTATACTCCTAGGTATACGTCCAAATGTAAAGACACTTGCCACAGAAAGACTTACACACAGTGTCCGCAGCAGTTTGTGCGGAACAAAGGCGAAAACAAATGACGTTCCATCCAGGGGTGGACATGCAGACAGAATGCGGTACGCTCACACACAGACTATCCATCACCTTACAGTAAGAAGGAAGTGCTAACTGGTGCTCCACTGTGCGGAACCTTGAAAACATGCTGAGTGTAAGAAAGAAGACAAGACCTATAGGGATAGGAGGCAGAGAAGAGGTCACCAGACTCGAGGGGCGCCAGTGACAGGTGAGGGATGGGGCGATGGAAAGGTCCTAACACTGACTGGTTGGCTGTTCCACACTCTGAATACACTAAAAGTGTTGGGACTATAAATTCAAATGAGCGCATTGTACATACACTGCTCAGTAAGGCTTTTTAAAATGGGGGAATCATGGGACGGGAGAGGTTCTAAGAGTGCATATGGCTCTTGCCGAAGGTCCGGGCTCAGTTTCTAGCATCCATGCCAGGCAGTTCCCAAGTGCCTATGTATAACTCTAGCTCCAATTAGAAATAAGGAAGCTGGAGAGATGGCCCAGTGGTTAAGGATACTGTTGCTCTTGAAGAGAACATGCGTTGAATTCCAGCATCCAGGTAGCGGTTCACAACCATCTGTAACTCCAGTTCCTGGAGACCCAACAACCTCTTCTGAGCTCCCTGGACACCCAGCACACACACAGTACATATATGCAGACAAAACACCCACACATAAAATGAAATGAACAAGTCTACCAAAAATTTAAAAAATAAAAATAAAATCTTCCTTAAAGGAGACAGCAAAAATTTAAACAAGTAAGTATGCTGTACATTTTCCTGGGTTTCCATTTCTGTTAAGGTTTTCGTGGATATTTCTTTTAAAAATATTTTTACTTTTATGTGTATGAGTGTTCTGCCTGCATGTACGTCTATGTTCCATACGGTGCCTCTGGAGACCAGAAAAGGGTGTGGATCCCCTAGAACTGGCGTTATAGACCGTGGTGAGCCTGGGTCCTCTGCAAAGCAGCAGATGCTCTTAACCACTGAGCCAATGCTTTAGCCCCTCAGTCTCTACTGAAACCGAGTTCCCCGGGCAGAGGCCCCTGTCTATCTTAAAATTCCTCACCTCATCTATGCTCCTACCAGCACCTGCTTACACACCAGGTCTACTGAAGAACACACAGCCGCTGCTTCAATGCTGAGGGATCCTGTCAGATGAGTTTGTGTGGGAGGTGGAGCAAAAAGCTCACTTCTCACCTGACTTCTCTATTTAAACCAGAGATACTTTCCTAAGTTAAATCTCTCCACTTCGGGTAAGTATCAAGCACTTGTGAAGAAACTTAAGTCTCTGCCTGCCTGCTTCTAAAGCACTTTCCTGCCCAGTATCGATACTCAGGCAGTGGAGACTGTACTGAAGGATGCCAGGACCCTCCCTGGATGCGGGAGAGACACTCAGTGCCGCACAGGATCTATGGACCAGTGGCACTACATTTTACCAGCAGGTGTCTCTCTCGAGCTTTTGATTCTCAAGCGCCAAACCACAAGGAAATAAAAAAAAAAAACAAAAAGAAAACACTGGCTGTGGGGAGGGGTGCAAGGCTTGGGCTACAGGGAAAGTGTCTTACAGTGAGAAGGGGGAACAGAAACTCCCCACAACGTCCTCTGAAGTCATGTGACCCAGATTAACAGTCTGCGGCTATAATTTTCTTCTCCAAAACACCTTACTCCACTTTCATGCTCTAACCAAGAAAGCCTTCAGACAAATGTCCACTGAAGCATCTATGAAACACCTCACTACCAAACCTCTAAATGTAACGGTCATCCGACTGTGGCTTATAATAAATTTTGGTTTTACTCAATTATTGAAAAAAAATAGCCAAATGAATGGGAACACATGAACTATGAACCAAAGGCTGAGGGGCCCCCAGCTGGATCAGGCCCTCTGAATAGGTGAGACAGTTGATTGGCTTGATCAGTTTGGGAGGCAACTAGGCAACGGGACCAAGTCCTGTGCTCACTGCATGAGTTGGCTGTTTGAAACCTGGAACTTATGCAGGGACGCTTGGCTCAGGCTGGGAGGAAGGGACTGGACCTGCCTGGACTGAGTCTACCAGGTTGATCGCAGTCCTCGGGGGAGGATTTACCAAGGAGGAGGTGGGAATGGGGGGTGGGCTGGGGGAAGGGGAGGGAGTGGGAGGGGGGAGAATAGGGGAATCTGTGGCTGATATGTAGAACTGAATGGTATAAATAAATAAATAAATGAATAAAATAAATAAAATTTTTAAAAAAATTTAATGGTCATCAAATCCCAGGAAAGTTTGAGAAACTGTCACAAGCAAAATCAGTCAAGGGAGCATGACCATGAGGTCCTGGCCTGGAACTGAAACATTAGGCAAAACTCCTCAACTCTGAATAAAGTCCTCTGAGTGAATATATTTACTAAACAATAATGACTGGCTTATTAAGTGAGGCCAGCAGCTCACATTTGTGTAAAATGTGGCAACTCGGTGTTGGGTACATAAGAACCTGCTCTCCAATTTTCACAATAACCCTGAAGCTGTTCTGAAATAAAAAGCATATGTTTTTGCATTTCAGGAAAAAAAAATCATCACTAGCTGCCCATTTGGCCAAGTAGGATTCTATTTTAAGGACTTGTTCCGACTGCTTTAAAATGGCTGTTTCTTTTTCAGGCATGTTCTTAAGTGACTGGAAGGCAGAAGAGAAAAGCCACAGGCTTGAAAACACAGACAGGACTTGTGGCAGCGAGAGAGAAGCCTGGCGGAAGCTGGGATCCCTGGGGGCCCCATCGCTTCCAGCCCAGTGCTAGCCACACCGATCACCTCAAAACCCTAAAAATGCTCAGTGTTCACAGCTTTTCCTGAGGGGAAAGGCGGCTGGGGGTACAGCAGTGATGCGGAAGCTGGGCAGCCCTGGCCGGGACTCAAACAACGTCTTCCTGAGTGATAAACCGGCCTCTGGAGACTCTTGGGCTCCAGACTTTCCTAAAGCCCCCAAAGAAGATGGGGACCAAATAGCAATTATCTCAACTGAAAAGATTGGAAAACTACTCAATACATATGATAATTATTCAGTCTTTAAAATTTTAGTTATCAGCTGTTAAAAAAAAACCAAACAAGCAGAAAGTTGTAAGTGGTGAATCCACATTCCGCTGCATCAATACACAGGGGTAGGTGGTTTTCTTGTCTGTGTTTTAAATAAAAGGCTGTGGTGGTGAAGGAAGGGTGTGCTAGATTCCTGCCCGTCCGCCGCAGTCTGAAGCATCAGCTTAGCCTTCTTGATAGGCAGCCAAACCTCAAGAATAATATCCACCACGGGGGAAAGTAGTTTCAGTGAGACTCACTTCTAGGCTTCAATCTTTTTGTTTTTATTGTTGTTTGTTTCTCCAGACACTGTCTCATACTGTAGCCGAGACCAGATGGAACTCATTATGTAATCCAAGATGGCCTTGACCTCACAGTAATCCTCCCACCTCCACTACTAGGATTACAGATGGGAGCCAGAGTACCAGCTATCAGACTTCAGACTTTTATTTTACACAGTTAGGGTGTCCCCCTTTTAATTAAAAAAAAGAAACTGTCATAGTGCAAGTGAAAGTCTGAGCCAGGCACAGTAGTTTTACACAGGGCTGAGGCAGGAGGATTGCCACAGGCTTGAGACTAACCTGGGCTAGATAATGAGTTCTGGGCCAGTTAGGGCAATAAGATGAGAGCTTGCATAGGAAAAAGATAAAATGTGAGCCTGGTGGTATATGCTTGTAATCCCAGGTACCCAATAGGCTGCAAGTTCAAGGTCAGCCTGGGTAACTTCGTAAAAAGAGGGCTGGGGTCCAGCCCAGTATAGAGCAGATGCCAAGCAAGTGTGAATCCCTGGGCTTAATCCTCAGTACCACATAAAAGAGAGAGACAGACAGAGAGACACGGACAGAGACTAGGGAGATGGCTCAGTAAGTAATGCCAGCTGCAGAAGCTCACAGGCCAAGTCCAGTCCCTGGAATCACAGGCAGAGCAGGATGAGTGAGTGGTACACATCTGCAATCCCAGCATTCCTTCTGTTGAGATGGGAGGCAGGCAGGGGACTCACCCAGAAGCCCATGGACCAGCTGCCGGGAGTACAAACAAGAAGGCAGAAAGAGGAGCCAACTCCTGAAAGCTGTACTCTGACTTCCAATGCGCGCACACGCACGCACACACACACACACACACACACACACACACACACACACACACACTGATTAGTATCATTCAACAGAAAGGAGAATGGGAGAAAAAAGTAAACGCCTATCCCACCTTAGCTAAGAAACTAGCAGAGAGGTCAGACACTGGGAATGTGAGACACACCCCCTCTACCTTGCACACACTCTCGGTGGGCGGACTCAGTATAAAATCAGAGTGACCCTCACTGCAAAGAACTGAGCAACACCTGTGTGGACGTAATTCAGGAAAGCGAGAAGCAAGCTGCCGTGACTTACTACCTACGGGAATGAGATGAGTGGGCTGCGATTCTTCCAGTTTGTTCCTCAACCAGTCGAAATCCTGGTATCTTCTGCGAACAGAATATTCTGGTAAGTCAAACTCCACCCGAGTGCTCTGCAAAGAAGAGAGGAGGAGAAACGTGTACAAGTGAGTGGGAGTGCATTCTCGCTGAGGAAAAACACTTTTAGAATAACCAAATAAGGCAAGGGCACACACACGTCCTTCCACCATGCACCAGACCAAAGACTGAGTTTACCAGCAGGCTACAAAGTCAAGGAGCTGGGATGGAGCCCAGCATAGTGGCGCACGCCTTTAACTCAAGCCCTCAGGAGGCAGAGGCAGGCAGACCTCTAAGATCAAGGCCAGCCTGGAGCTACAGAGTCATTTCCAGGATACCCAAGATTACACAGAGAAACCCTGTCTCGAAAAACCAATAAATAAATGAATGGATGGATGGATGGATGGATGGATGGATGGATGGACGGACAGATGGACAGACAGATAGATGAGAGAGGGAGGGAGAGAAGGAGGGAGGAAGAAAGAGAGGGAAGGAGGAAGGGAGGGAGGGAGGGAGGGAGGGGGGATAGATGGAGCTAGGACGGAAACATCTTTGGTTTGGTTTTGGTTTTGATTTTTTTTTTTCCTACCCTCAGGAAAAGGAACTCAGCAATTCCTCAGAATTGTCTAGAACATTTGATTCATTTCCTCCAGCTTAACTCTGAGAGGGCTGTTGGTGTTTTCCTCCCTAGAATAATATAATTTCAGATATTGCTGCTGAACTGAACCCAAATCCATGGGAAGGAATGCTGTGTCCACCTTGTTACATATGCGGACAAGCCTTGCTGAAGGCCAAGGGAACCAATCAAGCAGGACAGCAGCTCTGCTCCCGTGGGAGGCAGATTCTAAGGCCTGCCGGTGCAGTGGCGCACGCCTTCAGCCCAGCACTCAAGGCAGAGGCAAGGGAACTCTGTGAGTTCAAGGACAGCCGGCCTACATAGTGAGTTCCAGACCAAAAGGGATACACAGTGAGACAATACAAACAAACAAACAAACAAAAAAAGAAATCTACCCTATTCTTCATTCTTCATCTACCATATTCTGCCAGAACAATGACTTTGAATGCATACTGCATTTTAGATACAGATGAGGAAATGTCTAGAAAAAAAATAACAAAATGCCATGTTGTTGCAGAAAATGTTAATGATCTATGAATTTTTTAAAGTTTTCTGAAATGTAATTACATCAATTTAAAAATAAACCAATGTTAAATAAGATTAAGTTACACTAAAATATGATTTTTACTTATTAACTATTATCTTTTCTCAGATACACCATTCCTCCCTGGGTGGATACCGGCAGTTGCTGATCTCAAATATGAGATAAACTACAAGATCTAAGCCACATTTTACAAATTTATTCTTTCAGGCCCAAAGTCTGTTTTAATGTAAGACTTCCAGAAAAATCTTTAAAATACCTGAAGAAGAGTCATTCACCAAACAAGGCTGTGAGCAGCTTTTGGCTCTGAGATTATGATGTTGTTCTCCCCAAAGCTGTGCTCTTGGCCTGAGCAGAACTGGAAGGGAGGGCTGACCCTCAGGGCCTGCATCAGCTCCCCGTCCAGTCCCTCACATTGTAAGCATCCATGAACACGTCCTTCCCCATGTCAAAGCAGGCGGAGTGGGAAGACTGGGGGAAAACAACCACAAAGGTACTGCTGAGTTATCAGGGGGCTTCCCGAGGAAGTGGAACTGTGGATGAACTCAAGGCACAGCGCGGCAGGACCACCACCGACCCACGGGGCTGTGCTCTGTGGCCCCAGGGGCAGTTAGCACCCACTCCAGGTCCCTGAAATGCATGGAGTCTTACTTTCCACCACATTATGAGCTTTGAGAGAGACACTGTCCAGACCCCTCCCAACACCTGGCCTCCAGCAGAAAACCTGTCAGCAGTGGTGAGGGGAAACATCGTTTTCATCATGAAGAGTCTCTCCCTCCACCTTCCTAAACGTTCCATGATCAAATCTACCACGTTCCCTATTATGTCCATCAGATCAATTCCACAAACCACCTTCATGTAACATTCCTACTCTATGAAATCAATACTTGGTAACTACAAAGGGCACAAGCAGAAGCTGTTTTTTGCTTCAAACATTTCTATATCTGGAGATCTGGCTCCACCCTTCTCTCTGTCCAGGTTATATTTGCTTATTTTGAATCCTCATGAAAAATATGAAAATGGATATAGTCCTTCTAAATAGAAAACAAAATTAATATTTAAATTTACAAATTTACACTTTTCTATGCATATTCATTCAGTTTCTGTATCATTTTACTACATCCTGGACACCTTTGTGTCCAGATCTTTAAAAATCACTTAACATATATATAATATTCAATTGAGTGACTATAACATAATCAATCCCTATTTAAATTGTTTCTGATTTTTAAACTATAAACAACATTACAGTAAACATCACTGTGCTTCTATCCATTAATCCCACTAAAATAAATTCTTAAGGATAGAACTGCTGGAGATATATTTACATTATTTGTATTATATAATACAAAACTCCAGGGATGAGTACAGTCAGTTTTCCTCTGTGAGATCCAGGGTTTCTGCTCTCTAATATCAGTGGACAGACCAATTCCATCATCAGAGAGGACAGTGACACGGTCCTTCCATACTGAGACTATACCCTACAGTGTCCATCAGAGGTCGCCTACCACAGTCAGATCTGAGACAGTAACTAGGCACAGAGTGACTGTGAAGGACTCACCATGCTATAGGTTCAGCACCGCCGTTCCATATGAACACATCTCTGGTCATCTCTGGAAATAGTGGCATCAAAGCCGAAGTCTATCAACACCCAGCAGGACAGCCTGCACCTGTGCCCCACAGACCACAAAAGGTCTCCCCTCCCACCAGACCAAGAAGGCGCAGGGCTCTGGAAGCCCAATGCCCTACACAGGAGTAACTTCTATCCTACAGACTATCTTATGGGTACCCAAGATTTCGAACAGACTTTTTGAAAATTTAAATGGTACAAAAACCGACTCCAGTGGCAACAGAATTCATGGTGGTTTTATTGAAACTGGCCAAAACACTAAATTAATTTAGCAACTGCTAACTTCCACAAACTGAAAAGGTAAGACTGTCCTCTGGTAGCATCTGAGCATTTAGCAGTATCAGGCAGGGTAACACACAGTCTACAACAGGATCCCTAACCCGGCCAGGCAACCTCAGCCTTCCCCACAACATCAGCTATTAAAAAGCTGCAGACATCTTGAAAACTTCTTAACCTCAGTACTTATCTTCATTCCAGCTGGATGACCTTGTCACTCTGCCCTAGAGAAAACTGCAGCTATAAGCAAAGAATCCCTTAACTTCCTCCACGAGACACGCTCCCCTTCCTTTTTCCAGAACAATGGGGGGAGAGTGTGCTTCTCCTACCAGCGGCCAAGCCGTATGCCTGTCAGCACACAACTCCTTACACACCCAGCAAGTCCCGTCCTCCTCTCCGATCTGCACCTCGTGTCTACTTTCCCTGTGCCATCCTTGTCTTGTCCAGCTGGCTCTTAATGCTCCTTCATCCTCAAAAACAAAAACAAGCAAGCCAGACACAATGATGCGTATCTGTAATTCCAGCACTCAGGAGGCAGATCAAGAATGAGTTCTATGAAAGCCTGGACTACACAGCAAGTTTGAAGTCAGTAAGACTCTGACGATCACACTCATACACATACACACACACACACACACCACGCACACACGCACGCACACACACGCACACAGCTTCTCTCTCAATCACGCGCTCTCTTGCGGTTACTGCTCTGGCCTGATGCTACGTTCTTGCCAAGTGAACTGCCAAGCTACCAACACGCACATCTCCCCCCACCCCCCACCTCCCATTCACATTAGCCAACTGCAAACCACACCAGTGAAACTGCTCACACCACGGTCACCCAAACCCTCGTCAGTGAGCCAAACCCTCACGATAATTAATCCTGAACTCCTTGTCCGAACCTCTTGGCAGTGTTTACACTCTAGGCTACTGAGGCATCCGATAGAAACATGCTGAAGCACAGAACTGGTGAGGACGAGCAGACACAACCCTGCGTGTGCTCCAGGGGACTGCAGGTCCACTGGACCTGACAGTGAAGACTAGCCATCACAGGAGAAGGACAGCACAATTACTAAGAGAGAGGACTCTGGACTCCAGCTCCAGCCCCACCGCACATTAGCCGCATCAGTGAGCAATTATACTCATGTCCCTGTGTCTGAGTTCCATTTTAAAACTAAGAACAGCTGCAATATCCACCTCACTGTGTGAAGATTAGCACAGCACTTAAAGCACTCTGCACAAAATAAACAATGGGACAGCGGACAAGAGAATAGGGCTGCAATCTCAGAGATGCTGGCAAAGTGTGCTGCCTGGGACTTGCCAGCACAGAAGGATATATGCAATGAGTCATTGAGTTGGCTACATGCAAATGTTTTCATGAAAGAGGAGAGACAATAGCACACTAAGTCACCAATAGTGATTTCTGACTATGGGCTTATATAGGCATGTTTTCATTTTATTGTTTTAGTTTACTTTCATTTTCTAAGTTTTCTACGACAGATTCAGTACATAAAATAAAAATTGAAATGTCCATCACAAAACAGATAGACATGTGGTTAAGTGTCCAATAATTAGCTGTTACTGTGTTGTTACTTTCTAAGAGCTGGGAGAAAAAAGAGCCAGGAGCTGCTGGACTACAAGGGGCTGTGCCGGCCTGCCCATCAAAGAGGAAGGCATGGACGGTGGAGATTTGATGAACACTCCTTACCAGAATGTCTCCAGCTAAATTCAGCTCATTCCTCCATCAAGAATCTGAATTAGGGGGGTTGGGAGATGGCTCAGTGGCTAAGAGCACTGACTGCTCTTTCCAGAGGACCTGGATTCAGTTCCCAGCACATACATGGCAGCTCACAACTGTCTGTAACTCCAAGATCTGACACGACACCCTCACACAGACATGCATGCAAAGCAGCAATGTATATAAAAATAAAAATAAATACATTTTTAAAAGAAAGAATCTGCATTAGAGGGGCCAGGGAGGTAGCTCAGTGGTTAAAAGCACTGACTGTTCTTCCAGAAGACCCAGGTTTGAGCCCCAGCGGCCACATGGCAGCTCATGATCACCTGCAAACCCAGTTCCAGGGGATGTAACCCCCTCTTCCATCCTCCAAAGTGCACCAGGCATGCACGTTGTACATAGACACACATGCAGGCAAAATACTCATACACATAAAATAAATTTTAAAAATTAAAAAAGAAACGATCTGAATTAGAGATGCCATAGTAGCACACAATTCTAATCCCAGCACTTACGAGGCAGAGTGGGCAGACTCTGAGTCCTAGGCTAGTCAGGGCTACACAGTGAGACCCTGTCTCAATCATCATCTTCATCATCATCATCATCACATTCATCATCATCATCACATTCACCCTGTAGAGGTTTGAGGGGTTTAGAACCGTAGCACCTCATGCTATGGCCACTATTTGAGGACCTCAGTGGAATGCAAGCCCCAGGTGTAGATCTTGTGGTCCCATCTGCACTCTCTCTCATTCCCAGATACCACTATTTATCACGTGAACAGCTTTCAAAAAAAAAAAAAAAAGACTTCAAACACACCACCAAGATAGTGGACCTGGTCCACTTTTAGAAACAGAAGAGCAGGCAACTCTGGGGGTCAGGAGTGTAAGGAGAGAGATAAGAAAAAGTAAGAATTCAGCAGCAATCCGTCACCCCCAAGTGAAAACCCAAGACTAGAACTTGGAAAGAGCAGTTTCTCAGTTACAGGGAATCAAATAACCCCAGGAGAGAGGACAGAAATAAGAACACAGGGGGGAGGGGGCAAGGAAGGAGAGAGAAGAGGCCCGGGCGGGACGGTGAGTTAGGGCAGGTGCATTAGCCTGAACCGGTTCAGCCCCGCGGGGTCTGCTTTAACTGCTTTAACACGTCTGTGTGCTGTGGGGAGGCGGGGTGCAGGAATCACGCAGCCCTAGGGAATTGTAGGGTGGGTCAGCAGCAGTGCAGCAAGGCAGGCACCCTGTCACCAGGCCGCTGACAGCACCGAGTCAAGCATTGTACTCGCTACAGGGCCAAAAGTAAGTTTACCCAAAGAAAACGTAAACAAATGGAAAGAATTCCTGGAAACATGAACATCACCTAGGACGTCTGAGGAAACCATACATGTGTGAGTACCCCCTCGGGGAGATAACGGGGCAGATACACACGGCCAGGCAAACCTTCAAGTGTGGCCAGGTGCAGAAAGATGGGGTGGGGGGACTTCAAAAAACCGAGAATGGTTTAAATGTCCACCTACTCACCAGCGTGTGCGTGTGTGTGTGTGTGTGTGTGTGTGTGTGTGTGTGTGTGTGTGTGTGTGTGTGTGATAGACAGAGACACACAGAGAGATTTATATAACCACTGCGTAATCAGGCAGACCCAGAGAGTAAGCTCCACGTAGTCATGGGGACATGGAAAGGCTTTAACAACACCGTCAAGCAGAAGGCAAAGTATGAGAGCCGCCTACCCCGGGACCCAAACAATGTGCTCTCTAAGTGTCGTGTGTGCCCACAGAGCACCCGGAGGAGGGGCGGGCACGCGCCAAGGGGCAGCAACTGCTGCTTCTCGTGAGAAGACGGTCCAGCTGAGCCGGGGACGGGAGGTCGAGGTTTCCACTCTGTATTTGGTCTTTGTTTCTGTTCTATGAACATGTATTTTACCATTCATGTGATTTTTAAAACATAGTGTTTCCACCCAATAAAGGATGAAGAATATGTGAACCTATTTCATTCTGTTTATCTCGCCAAGAATTTAAACAGGTACAGAACCTACCAAATTCTTACAATAAAAAAAATAAATGTTTGTTGGGTATAGAGGCACACATTTCTCACCCCAGAGGTGGAGAGGCTGGGGTAGAGGATCAAGAGTTCCAGGCCAGCCTGGGCTACACAGCAAGACTTTGCTCCCTGCCCCAAATAAATAATTAATAAATGATTTTTTTAATTAAAAAAAAATAGAAGGCCAGAAACATAGCGCAGTGGCACTGTGCCTGGTATGTGAGAGGCCCCATGTTCAATTCTCAGCCCAAAGGGGAGATGAATAGTAAGAAAAGAGAGATGTGGTTTGTCTGAGCCACTAACACCATCCATAAAGGTTCATCCACAAAGGTTCATAAAACGTCTGTAATTCCTCTGCAGTGTGTGCTTTGTGGTGGAGGAAAAACAGACAGAAAGAAGGTTTTTCCTTCTTTCTCCTAAAGCACTTACTTCATACGCATATATAACATATCCTGGCAGCATTCACCACCACCCCTTTGTCCCTGTCTAACCTACCAAGTCCTCCCTCCCCACACCAAGTCTCCATCCCACACCAAGTCCCCATCCCCACACCAAATCCTCCCTCCCCACACCAAGTCCTCCCTCCCCACACCAAGTCCTCCCTCCCCACACCAAGTCCTCCCTCCCCACACCAAGTCCTCCCTCCCCACA